CGCTGCCAGTGGATTAGCGTCAGGTCCACGCGGTTCTGTTCGTCCAGCCGGACGATGGCGTTGGCGCAGCGCTGCGCGCGCGCGCTCATGTAGCTGGCGTAGAGCCGGTTCTCCTCGCGCAGGCGCAGCGCCTCGCGGTCAAGGAAGGCGTTCTCTTGCAGCATCTGGTCGACGCGCTGCTCGCAGGCGTCCAGCTGCTCCGAGAGCAGCTTGTACTCGCGCTGCAGGTACTGAGCGCGCTCCGACAGCGGCGGCTCAGCGCCCTCTCCTGCCACGGCCGACCGGCGCCCCGCGCTCGGCACGCGCTTCTTCTTGGGCGCCATGGGTTGGGGCCCCCTACTCTCTCCTCCAGCTCAGCCCTTCCCCTCCCCTAGCCCGAATATTCTGGCGGAGTTGGACGCGTCTCAGGGTCACGAGACTGGGGGAGGCAGAATCAGGGGTTTGGGGTCAATCAGGGGTCAGGGCATCGTCGCCAGCCTTTACTAGTGGGCTCCTTGGTCTTCCGTCAGCGTCTGGACCACCTTTAGTAGTGTTGCCGTTCAGCCTGCACAGTCTCCATGGAAACAGAACTTAGTCGCCCTCCCCCACTCCCACCTCGTTGCTTGGGCAACAGCCCGCGTCCCCTTCTTCCCTTCCCCCAGCCCCCTCACTGGAAGTCGGTGAGTGACGGCCTGTGTGCGTGTCCTACAAGAAGCTGGATCCCAGATGGGCAGGACTTCGGCTTCCCCCCGGCAGGTGATGCTGGACTTGCTCCGGAATCTAACAGACCCAGCCACGGCAGTAGTCCCCACTCTCCACGTGCCAGACTTGTACCCTTTGCAGTCTGTCCACCATTGGCCTCTACACCCAGTCATCCCCATGTAGGGAGAGTTTTCGCCAAGTTCCTGTCCTCCCGCACCACACACACGTGTGAAATCTCCCTATTTGTTGTCAGGACAGAGCTCTTCCCCACATCTTTTCCTCTCTCAGGGGACCCTAGTTTTCCTGGAAGCACTTCTATGTGATTGCTTCCTTCTGGAGGCCTTCGTGGGGTGAGGGCTCCTGGGGAGGTCGGGCCCATTTGTATGTCATCCCGTTGTCCAGCGTGTTTCTCTCTGGGATCTCCTCTCAGAGGCTCCGATGCCCGCACAGGGGGCACCTGTTCAGCTCATCCCACCCACCTGCCATGATTCGCTTCTTTCCCTTCCCAGCAGGCTGGCAAGGTGGAGTCGGGGGGGGCAGGGGTAGGCGATGCTTCAGGGTTTGGCTATGGCTCTTTTTGCTGTTGATATTGGGGAAGCAACATCCTAAACCCTCCCTTTTTTCAGTCGCCAGCAGCCAGGTCCAGCCTCCCATCCTGTCAGATGCCTCTGGAACAGGTGCCTCCAGACAGCCTTTGCAGTGAATCAAGTCTACAACGAATTTGGCCCTGTCATCATACAGTTGCGTTTCTGTCCAGGTCTGTCCACATTTGCTACAATATGAACAGATTCAAGATTATTGACTTGTAACTTTGTGCGGAGCACAGCTTAGGAAAAAACATTTGTAGGAAGGCTTGTCTTGAAAATTATCTTAGGAGGTTGATTTCAGAGCCTGGGCTTCGCTCCTGTGCCTGGACTTGCTACACCTGCCCTAAAGATGTGGCAGAGCCTCTTAAAATTAGGAACACGAGGTATTTTCCCCCATGCATTGTAAAAACAAATACATTTTTTTACAATGCATGAAAGACAACGCAGAATTTCCGTTTGCTTTAACATTAAAAATTTAAAAGAAATGTTGACTCATAAACTAAAACAGCATGAGTGTTGGCCTTAAATGATACAGGCTTCTTACAGAAGACTGGGAAAAGACCAAGTAGAACCAGGAGAAGCATCGCCCGTGACCCTGCACGGGGCTCCACCGTGCCCATGTGGGCTGTCTCCTTCTCCAGGCCTGGCATTCCAGACCAGGATCTCTCTGCCCCCAGGGGCTACCCGCGCTCTCCACCCTCAGGCCCGCCTGAGGCCACTGTCCCTATTTAACGGACTGAGAAACAGACTGCGAGCGATGGGGACCTGCTCACATAGCCGGGCCGGTCCTCAGCAGTCTCGACCCAGTGCCCTCCCACACCATGCCGCGGCTGCAAGTCGCCCCTGCCCCTCCGGGCTTGTGCTCAGCACACATCTGTCGCGGGAGTGTCTGGGTCGACCTTGGCCTTTTAATTTCTGTTTCGAAGTGAGGCACCCGATGGACGGAGGTTTTTACGTTTTAAGCCGTCCCGGCCTCCCGGAATTCTTGGCGACTTGTCCTCGCGTTAAAGCTCATAAATGCCTCCCCCCTAAAAGAGATGTGGTGAGCGTCTTGTTCTTCTCGGTCTCCAGGTTCCTCGAGACGTCCTTCTTCCCAGCTCTGCAATTCCGGATTACGCAATCACAGTGGTCTCCATCGCGGAGCCCAGGGGGAAGCCGCGCCCCCGCCCCAACCCGAGCCCTGGTCCTGCCCGGGCCACGCCCAGCCTC